CTAACCCGGTGACGTCCTCCGTGGCGGTGAAGTCCACGCCATCAAAACAATAGCGAAGGGGATCGTTCGCTCCGTGGGCCCCCTCGTTGGGTCGTTCTTTCACAGTTTGGGCCTCATTGTACACCGACTCGGTAAACGAGGGTGACTCCAAGTGCCTCATTCAGGACACTGCCCGTATCCTGGGAAGCCTCAGCCCCGACCTTCTCATCGATCTCCCTGGCCTGAGGCAGATCGACCTCACGAGTCTCTGTATCGATGCCCCCTGCTCTTCGAGGGGTGACGGCTCGCGGGCCACAAAAACAAAAGGCTCTTCCTCCTCGGGCTCGTCCCTAAGCCGATAGAGCAAGTCCGAAGTTGGTACTCAGGAGCTGGTGTTTCCTTTGGCTTGCGCACCAGCCTTCTCCTTGTTTTCTTTTTCTCCGAGCTCAGGGAACTCGGAGCCCTTATCCTCTTCCTCTCTCCGGCTTGCCCCGAAGCAGGAGACTCAATAGGCAAGTCCTCGACCCCAACCGAAGGCCTAAGCTCGACGTTCTTAGGCAAACCTGCAAAGGAAAGTAAAGGAGATAAGGGCGTGATGTTAGAAGAAAAAGTTCACTACGACTTGTTCGGGAAAAGAGCCTTACCATGAGAACGGGACTCCCAACGGCCTTTTGAAAGCTTGCGCAATTAGCGCTCGGAGTAGGGCATCTGTGACACAATACCCTTGACCCACTCCTTGAGTCGAGGGATAACATTCGAAACTCGAGCAAGGGCTACAACATAACAAGCACCGATAAGAAAAGGGAAGATAAGTCATAAAATTGATGCTTAAAGGGAATACTTACATGATGCGTTCCACATTTCGGGGAACGGCCTCCACTCGACAGGTACCAGGTCGACGGTTCTGACTCGAACAAAATGTCCTTGCCAACCCTAATCTCGGTCATCGTCGATACTCGAGAACGGGGCTTTGCTGGCCCTGCGTACTAGCTTTATTAGTCCCCCCCAGAAGATTCGGAAACTGTATAAGTGGAGTAGGTAATCGACGGTGAACGGACACCCATCATTTTTGTTCATAAAAAATCGGAGGAGGATCACGATCCTCCATAGTGATGGATAAATTTGGCCTAGGCACACGTTGTACCTCTTGTAGAAGTCTAAAATGACCAGGTCTACCGATCCCAATGTAAAGGGATAAGTATAAAAAAATTAGATATCCCTCGACATGGGTGGTAATGGCCTATTCGGGATCTGGAACTACTATATCTTTGTCGGCCCAGTTGCAGTCTTTTCGGACCGTGGGGAGGACCTCTTCAGTAATTGAGCAGATGTATCTCGAGGCCTCCTCACACCGACCCTGTACAAAGGAAGGATTTTCAAACTTAAAGTCGCCGGTGACCGAACAACCACTGGGAATGAACATCTTCAAAGGGGGCTCTTCCGCCGGTTCATCAACAATCGTATCGGGGACGGTCTCCTCGACATTAGTGGTCGGTCACGAGGAAGAAAGAGCATCCTTCTGAGGAATAAATTTTGAGGTTTTTGCCCCTGAGAAAGAGTGAAAGTTGAAAGATCAGACTTGTTGGCTTGAGTAGGAGATGAGTAATAGTTTTGCAAAGTGCTAAAGAACCTTGGGTAACGGGGGTAAAAACGCTAGATTATATTGAAATTCTAAAGGTATGAAGGTAGAAGATTTGGTGTAAAGTGAAAAATAGATAGAAGAGGGGGTATTTATAGGAGTTCATCGACGTTTCACGTCCAGGGTTATAGGACTTCATCGACGTTTCACGTCCAGGGACGGCCGACTGGCGACTGACATGCATTTAATGCCATTATGACTTGACTGACGAGACGTTTCAGATGTTTTGTTATTTCTGTCGCGATGTGTCGAAGTAAGAATTGGGAGCTCATGTTGTTTCTCGTCATTTACCCTCGGAGAAACGAGGGGACCATCTGTATACGGGTAAAATCGAGCTCATAGTAACCCCGGTCTTCGACAAAATAAGCCAAGCTCAATACATGATGACAGGGGTCCGAAATCGGGGAAAGAGTCTCATCGAGTTATGGTTCGGAATCGGTCCTAGCTTTGAACGGCTTCGAAAAATATGGTCGGGCAATCAAGCAAGACCGATGGAGGGCCGTTATACCCTAGACCGGTCGGATATACCTCTCGTGCTAAGGCCCGAACAGAGCGCCTACCATCGGAGCCATCGAGACCACGCCTCCCGGATTCGGTTCGAGTTCCAAGACATCGGAAAAACATTACCAAATGGTTGCACACGACTAACGAAGGGCCGTGATATCCGCGCCCAACCGGATATCATAGCGCGGATCTCGGCCTGTATTGGCAACAGATCAGTGATTAACGAAAAAGAAGATTTTTACGTTTTTTAGAATTGTACTAGGGATGAAAGTCTCCTATTATATAGAGGAGATGATTTTTATTCAAAGGGCACACTGTAACACGCAATCCAAAGCAATACATTATTATTTTTTCTGTTATTAGCTCTTTCTTTTGTTCATCAGTGCTGGCCATAGCGAGCCCGGATCGAGGGTAAATATTTTAATATTTCAATAAGGCTAGAACTATCCTCCTCGTGTGGTTTGAATCTATTTTATCTTTGTTTGTTCAATTTGACTTAATCTATCGCTTTGTATCAAATTAATTCGCGTATCCTTAAAATCACTTACAAATTTTATTATTATCCGATTTTGAGGGTAAACATAAACAATCTAGAATATATGCCCTTTTAAATATGTTTAGCATTTTCGTAGAATTATTACCGCTTTCCTCCAAAAGGTTTTTTTTTGGGGTACAATAATAATGAATTAGCAAATTTAATTTCGAAATTATTGCCTTCCTTACATTTGTCATACAATAAGAAATTAATATGATAGCCCCAGGTAATGGCTATCAAGAAACATTTTCTCAAACTTAAACAAGGAAAGCTAAAATTCAGCAAAACCAGTATTCTCCACAGCTTTCTTAGGATTTGTCAACCAAGCTTCTTTCTGCATGATCCCATATTGATTTACCCTTATGCTTAATTTGTTCGTTCTTAACTATCGTTCATATGCTCTTTCTAATTCAAATATTACTCCAAAAGATCCTACCATTGTAGCCATCAATTGTTTTACGAATGTGACGAATAAAATGGAGAAATCATTATTCACAGATCAAAAAATCGTCAACAAGATTCTAGTGCACTTATCAGTGGAAGCTCTTGCGCGATTTAGATGTGTCTGTAAATCCTGGTGTTCTCTAATCGACGATCCAATTTTCATGAACGCGCATAGAATGAACATGGAAATTGTTAGCAGAAAGTTGAGACTTTTCCAAGTTGTGTATCAATTATATCCCAACGAAGGTCTTCGATCTTGGTGTTACGCTGGTAGTCCAAGTGAGGAGCTTATTCATCCCGGTTTCCCTATAACTAACACTAAGCCATGCACGTACGACTTGGTTGGCTATTGTAACGGTTTAATTTGTTACCTTACAAATTTCTTGCACGGTAAAAAAGAAATCAATTTATGGAATCCTTCAATGAGAAAATGCAGGACGTTGCCTGATTCTACCTTCTCTCCAGACCGTCAAAGGCACTCTCCTAACTTCGGATTCGGTTTTGACGGTACGACCGATCACAAATTAGTAAAAATTACTTACATTGACGATAGATTAAAGAACGAAAAGAAACAATGGTCTGAGGTGGAGGTTTACAGCTTGAAACAAGATTCGTGGAAAAAAATCGGCGATCGTTTTCCTTCACAATATTATTATGCCCGCGGTGACACGGTTTTTTTCAACGGATGCATACATTGGCTAACACAACGCGAATTTGGCAAGATTAGGCCTAGGAGATTGCCTATACTTTCTTTCAATGTGGCTAAAGAGGTGTTTCAGGAATTTTGGTTGCCAAATCCTCACGAACGCGAAGCCAATTGTATTAGCCCGTTGCACGGATCGCTCTCTGTTTGTGCAAAATCGAGTTCGTCTGTCGATAACTGTCTAGATATCGAGGTATGGTTAATGAAAGAGTATGCGGTCGAAGAGACATGGACAAAATTGTACGTGACAAGGTTGGACGAGGAGTTGTCGGGTCCTATAATTCCATTGCGAGTGTTGGATGGTGGTGCAGAGGCAATTGTGTATATAAATAAGAATGTGTTTTTATATGATCCGAAAAATGAAGAATTTGAGGATTTTGGTATTTGGGCAAATGGAATAGGGGTTCCTTATGTGACTTCTTATATGGAGAGTCTGGTTTGGGTTGAACCAGTTGTGCTTGAGCCCAGTACTACTCAAACTGAACCTGAGGTTAAAATTGCTAACATGGAAATAGAGGCAGCTGCAAAGCAAGAGGATACAACTAGCAATAAGGAAACCTATGAAGTAGGTGGTAAGCAAGACAATAATTGTCACATCTTATGAGACAATTTTATGTTAATTAGTATGTTGTCAGGGCATTTATGTTGTATTTTAGGATTAATGTTGTTGTAATTACATTAATTAGTGAAATTCAGTGTTGAAGTTATGGACTTTTCTGGAAAAAAGTTCTTTCTTTTCGTATGATCAACTTATGCTTTAGATCACTTTAAAAGACCTAAGTTTAAGTCTAATGTCCTAGCATCTCAAAAAGTAGTACTAGAAACACACAGTTGAGGAGCAAAGTCCCCTCCTTTACATAATTCTTCTCTGATCACATTTGGGAATCATTATTTGGGCCAACTTTAGGTCCGATCTATGGGCGATTTGTACAAATAGAATTATTTAGTGTCACCTTTTAATTGACCTTGTTAATTTTCTTATGGGAAAATAACCTCGCTTAAGAATTTTAAAGCACACCATCAGAATTTTGAAGCATGCCGCCAGAATTGTTAGCATTGTGGATGAAAATTCTGGCAGCATTCTTTAAAATTCTAGTGGGGACTATTTTTTCAAAATTTTTCTTAACGTAGTCAAAATATAAATGGTAGTTTTCTAAAAAGGTCCATCCAACATAATTTATTATAATTGAGATATATACGAGGAAAATATTAGACACATTGATGTAATTGGATAACGAAAACTTGGATGAAGGATGTAGTAATTCCAAATTATTGTTGAAGAAAAATATCACACTTGCATTATATTGTCAAAAACAAGGAATCACCACATCCAGAAAGGGCGTGGTTTGGATGGTTGATCGTTGTTCTTTGATCTTCCCAGCCATCCCGTCTCGTTAGCACTATCAAAATAACAAATTGAAGTACTTGATTAGTAGATGGCCAATTCATTATTGACAAATGACAACGTAAACTTAAGATACTGAATATAATGTTGGATCATACCTCACTATAGCGAGCCTCCTCATTTCATGATTATAAAACCTGCCACCAGACGAATTGCGCCAATCAAATTATGGACTATAAACAAATATGACATTTGAACTTAAAATTAAAGAGTCTCAAATTTTACTCTAATGAGAGACTTTCCACTATTCAAAGAAAAACTGTATTCTCTTTGAGTAGGTCACCTTGCTATTAACTTTTCTCATTGCTAGCTAGAAACAATAAGTATGATACTTTATTTTTTATAAGGAATTTAATATAATTTATTTAAATTTCGTACCATCACTAATACAAAATTACATATAATATAATTTATTTTAAAATTTATAACTTTTCATTTTCCTAATATATCTCTCTTGAAAATCTCTCATCTAAAACATCCTAATATATCTCTCTTAAGATTCTCTCTCACTTAAAAGTATCTATTATATCAATTTTCTCCCAATTTCTCCATAGCGCCCAACTCTACCACGAATCAAGATCGAAAGGGATGGCACGTTAAGCGCACTTGACCAACTCAAATTAATAACATAAATCCTAGCAAGTGTCACTCATTTTTTCCCCACCAAGTATCCGGTATTCCCATTGTGGTCTCCACTAATTTAGATTTATGTAGCGTAAGATCCATTAAAATTCAATCATTTTTTTTTCACACTCAAGGTGAATCTTATTTATTCCACCCCAACCCTTTACGATAACAAATGTCGCTCATACTACCAGCTAAGTCCAACATCTTCATACTAAAATGTTTAGAATACTTTAAACTTTAAAGTGCTTAAAATGTGTAGTTTTAATTAATCCCTCTTTACAAGTAACCCTTTTACTGCCACTAGTTGAAGGATCATTTCCTCTTGAAATATGAAACAAACTTACCCACTTTAAATGGAGCAATATAACATATTGCAATTACATAAATAAATGGACCAATGGAACATATTGCAATTACATAAAGATCAAGCAGCTAATATATTTAACCAGATATTATAGAATCATAACCAAAAATATCAATAATTAAAGACCAAGTAAATCAGAGATAAGAGGAAGTGTACCAGCGTCCAGTTCTGTATGCAATGTAACCTGCTGTAGTATAGACTGGAGCCATAATAACTGTCATTACACCATTAAAGACGATAAATGCAAGTGACTCGTTAAGAAAATTAACCCAAAAAAGAAAATCAGATCAATCACAGATATTTATCATATACAATAAAGCTTACGAGTTCGTATTATATTTTTGATGAGATTGTTCCCAAAATCAGCCATTTTTGGTGTCTCTTCAGTAAGCAAACTTCAAGCAGGGAGAAATTGGAGGAGAGGAGAGAGTTGGTGTAAAAAAATGTGGTGCTTTTGGCTAGGAAATTGGGGCAAAGAAAAGGAAGGGATATTGTTTATTTAATACGTAGTAAAAGATTCATCAGTAAAATAATACTTGTATAATAAAGTAATATTCCGCTGAATTAGTGATCCACAAAGAATAGTATATATTATTCTGAAGAAATAAACGAGGCGGCAATGGGAAAACACAATTAAAAAATGAGCAGAAAGATGAAAGAAGGAGAACTATGTCGTTGAGAACCATCCTCTTTTGCTTTTGCATTATTATTCCAACTAATTTTCCAGTTACAAATTTTTAGAAGAGGTAAAATACATACACGCCAAAAATGAGATAAGTGGAAATAAAAGTAACCATATATTATGGGGAGAGATTATTATTCTAATTATTTACTATATACTTTTGGAAAAAATGCAACTTTGAAAGAATATTGAGGGATAACTGTATGAGGTAAAATTAACGAATGACAAGTACGCTCGTCGAGTTGACACGTGGCAGTAAAGACATGTAGGATATGAGTCATCAAATAATTAACACCGGATATAAGCATGTGACCGGTGGATCCAACTCCCCTCATTTTCTAGTCTCTCCATTTCTCAAAGTTCCTACTTAGATTGAAGACACTTGTCATGATTAAATACAAATGGATGAGATTTAATTCAATAAAATAAAGTCCTAACCATAGTTAAAGTATTTAATTTCGTCTTTTAATCATTCCCAAATAATATATTTTGCAATCCTACAATTATAGCTACAGATTATCAGGATTCCTTCTTTCTTTCTTGTAGTAATTTTCTGTCACGACCCAAACTCCCTGTGTATAACGTCGTGACGACACCTAGTCTCTACGACTAGATAAGCCTAACAAATTGCGAAAAATAACAAAACGGAAGTAAAACTTGGCAACTAACAGGAGTGGATAACTGAATAACTAGTAACAATGCCGCTCGGCATGTACAATAATCAATACTCTATAAATACACAGTCTTCCCAAAACTCGAAACATCATAAGTCACAAGCTACAAAAGGAAACTAGTATCTCTATACACCAGAATCTAATAAAAGAAGTGCATAAGGCAAATGACATAGGGGAGAATAGAGGGGGACTCCGAGGTCTGCGGACGCGAGCAGATGTACCTTGAAGTCTCCGGAACATCAGCAAATGCACAACTAATAGTGAGGCTGGTATGATGAACCTGGATCTGCACACGAAAACATGTATAGAAGTTGAGTAGTGACGAGATCAGGTCAGGCCCACTGGTATATAATAAATAAAGCAGGGGAATATAACAGTATATTAAGAGACTAAAATTTAATAAAAGAAAAACAGAGCAAAAACTGCAGTACAACACAAGGATAAACAGCAGGGGATCTCCCGAGTTACCGTCTCGTAGTCCCAAAGTAAATAAGCAAAGAGATCACCCGAGGTACCGCCTCGTAGTCTCAAAAGTAAATATGCAGAGAGAACTCCCGAGGTACCGACTCGTAGTCTCAAAAGTAAATATGCAGGGAGAGCTCCCGAGGTACCGCCTCGTAGTCTCAAAAGTAAATATGCAGGGAGAGCTCCCGAGGTACCGCCTCGTAGTCTCAAAAGTAAATGTGCAGGGAGAACTCTCGAGATACTGTCTCGTAGTCTCAAAAGTAAATGTGTTGGGAGAACTCCCGAGGAACCGCCTCGTAGTCTCAAAAGCAAATACACAACTCAAATCGATAAATATAATAGTTAATATCAAGATTTCTACAATATAAAGTTATACTAATAAAGAACAAGGAAAAGTAGGAAATCAACTAGGTATGTTTCACAGAGTTCAAATAAGCAATTAAAGCACGTAGACATGCGATATTAGACTAAACAGAATAACTACACATATTGGAATAGCTCAATTAAGAATGAAAACATACTACTACTCATTTAAATGGTATAACTCAAATTAAAGGAAAAATAGGTTGCTACTCAGTAAAATAAATTAGATTTTACAATAAATAGCCCGTGTACGTACTCGTCACCTCACGTACACTACGTTCACATATCACAACACTACTAAATCCTAATTACATTTCCCCCCACACAATGTTAGGCAAGCCACATACCTCGAACCAAGCTCAATCAATCAGTAACAATACCTTTTCCACGAATATCCTACTTTGAATGGCCCAAATCTAGCTAGAATCAATTACATACCATAAATACAACTGTAAGAAACTAATATAATTAATGAAATCAAAACTAAAACAAGAAATTAAAAAATTACCCCAAAAAGCCTCCCTGAGCCCATGTCTCGGAATCGGGTAAAAGTCACGAAATATGAACACCTATTCACTCACGAGCCCGGTTATGTAATTTGTTTTGGAATCTGACCTCAATTTGAGGTCTAAATCCCCATTTTATAAAAATCCCTAATTCTACCCAAAATCCCCAATTTTCACCATGAAAACACAAGATTTTTGGTTAAAATCTTAGAAAATATAGTGAAAGATTGAAAGAAACTAGTTTAGAATCACTTACAAATGATTTGGGGAAGAAAGGTTCTTTGAAAAATCGCCTCTAGGGTTTCTTGTTTTGAAAATTTGAGAGAATGAACCAAAATCATGTCTAAGTCCCATTTTGATCAGTTGCAGATGTCGCATTTGCGACCTGGGGTTCGCAAATGTGAACCCTGCAAATGCGAAGAATTAATCGCAAATGCGAAGATCTTCACATCTCTGCTTCTATCGCAAATGCGATAAATTATTCGCAAATGCGAACTGACCTGATCGCAAATGCGACCCATTAATCGCAAATGCGAAGTAGCTCCTCCCCCCAGTCCCTATCGCAAAAGCGATGACCTGGTCGCAATTGCGCAACTGGGTCTCTTCGCAAATGCGAAGGTTATGTTCGCAAATGCGAAACTGATAGGTTTGTTGCCATATCGCAAATACGAGGCATGACCTCGCAAATGCGAGATCAGAGGCCTGCACCAGAACTGAGACACACCAGCAATATTTTATAAGTCCAATCCACTTTGTAGCCTATCCGAAACTCACCCGAGCCCTCGGGGATCTAAACCAATTATGCACACAGGTCTAAAGAATCATACGAACTTGCTCGCGCGATCAAATCTCCAAAATAACACCTAGAACTACGAATTTAGCATCAAATCAAAGGAAATTTTCAAGAAAACTTTGAAACTTCTATTTTCACATCCGGACGTCCGAATCACGTCAAACCAACTCCATTTCTCACCAAATTTGACAGACAAGTCATAAATATAGTATTGGACCTATGCCGGGTTTCGGAACTAAAATACGGACCTGATATCCAAAAAGTCAAACATTGGCCAAACATTTCAAAGTCATTAAGCCTTTAACTTTCAAATTTCAACGAAGTGCGATAACTCGAGTTAGGGACTTCCGAATTCGATTTCGGGCATACGCCCAAGTCCCAAATCACGATACGGACCTACCGGGACCGTCAAAATATAAATCCGGGTCCATTTGCTCAAAACGTTGATCGAAGCCAACTCAAATAGATTTTAAGGCGAAAAATTCATATTTTCTTAGTTTTTAACATAAAGCTTTTCCGGAAAAATACCCGGACTGCGCACGCAAATCGAAGAAAGTTAAAATAAGGTATTTAAGACTTCAAAGTGCAGAATTAGATTCTAAAACAAAAGATGACCTATCGGGCCATCACATTTTCTTTCCAACCACTTCTACCATCGTTTCCTTTCGTAGTATTCATATGCATGTCTAAATGAATCAAATTTATCCCAAGGTTTATTGGTCCAAATGAATAAGAAACATTCATATGTTAATTTTGAAACGTGACCACAAATCTACCATTGAAAAGGATAAAGTAAGACAACGATAATAATTCAAAGCTCTCCAATACATGGTTCTGCTACGAATAAAATCTAATTTTTCGGTTAAAATTAGATGAGTTTTTAAATAATTATTTCAAAGATTTTTTTAAAGGATAGTGAACTCCAGAATAATGAAAAGGTAAATATACTACGGTAGATTGCAACTTAAATTTTTAAAAGGATTGACATGCTGGCAAACTTTTTTTGGGGTAACTTTTGGTGCCAAAAATGGAATTTGTAGGTGGGAATATAAAATTTTCTGAAAATTATATGTGAAATATCTATTACTTAACCATGGTTAATGCCTTGTTTTAATTAATTAAATCTAGGCCATTAATTTTAAAATGGTATAGGTGTCTCCTATCTAAGTAAGAACTTGGGAAAATGGAGAGGAGTCAAATTTGTGACCGGTGTTGTATGAGTTCCGAAGACATTAAAACTAGATAAGAGAATTTAAAAGCAAGATACCGATTGAAGAAGTCAGCATTAAATGAGCAGCTGTTACAGAAAATCCTGGTATTTACACTCAACCGTTATGTAGCTATAATGAGGGGTCTTTATTCATCTTAAAGAGAAGCTTGATCTGGGGATCTTGTCTTCCTTAATTTAACTATAATTAGAGAAATTTGTACTCATGCAAGGACACGAAATACTTATATGAAAAAAGGCTAATATTATTCTCTTATTCTGCTAAACATTGTTCTGGTAGAATTTAGCTCTTGATATTATTCTTGTTTTCGGAGAAGTTCAATTCAAGGCCGAGACTTGTCTTTTATTCAATTATTCTTATTTAATTTTATTTTATTTTTTATTGCTTTATTTTATCAGATCAATTTAATTCACGTGTCTATAAACCACGTTATAAATTTAACTGTACCATCTTACTACAATCGTAGAGCAAGTCTTCGCTATTTCAAAATCGGAGATTTGGTTTTACAGAAGGTAACTTATAATACCCAAGAAGTCAATCCTGGGAAGTTGACACTGACATGGGAAGGACCTTACCAAATTTCAGCTATAACCGGTAAAAGGTTCATATCAGCTAGAATATAAAAATAGAGTAAATTACCAAGTAACTGGAACGTGACTCAACTCAAAAAATACTACTGTTGAAGATCCTTGATGGTACTGAATGTATGCGCTGTACTTTTTTTTTCTCCTTCGTCCAGTTTTAGTCCCAAATGAATTTTTCTGGCAAAGT